CAAACGAAGACCTCTATTATAACAGCAGAATGACATACATGTATGAATGGGGGATTTCATCAACCATTAGATTATAATGCGTTTCCCCCCGGCCATTCTTATCAGACCATGGGTTTTCGCACTAAGCACAAGTCCCGACCTACACTTTCACTTTTTCCCTTTGAGTTATGAAATCACATTGCTAGCACGCTTGCATCTTCACCGAAACACGGATTTCCTTCTCTTTCAGGAAGATGTAAAAAGGAGTAATACGAGCCTGAAAGTGCAATTCAGGTTATAGGGAAAAAAAAAAAAAAAAAGGCATAAAACGATTTGTGCCATACAAAGGTCAATTCTGTAAGAGGAGATACCACTCTTTTTCCCCTTGCCTGTAGTCTAGTCTTGCAAAGCCTAGGTGGAAACGACCAGAAAAACGACTTCAGTCCCAGGTACACAGTTCTGCCTTTCACATAACCATGCTGACCTAAAATTACTGTTTGGTATGAACAGCTTTCCTCTCCCTTGTGCTGCACACATAACAAAACCATATAAAAACAACATCAGTTCATCCTTCTGGGACGAGGTCACTACAGAGGGCATGGGATAAGAATGTGGTCAGCCCAAACGCTCGTCGCCCCATTCATAACACATTCACAGTTGCGAAAAGAACAGCAAACACCTGTGGTGCCAGCAGTACTACTAATGAAGTCCAAAGATCTCTCGTATCACTTGGGGAGGAAAAAAAAATAAATAAATAAAGACCAACGAATACCCAAGAACACTCGTAAATCGCCTGTTTCTCACACCCAGAAGAAGAGAACCTCAGCCATAGAGTGAGGATCCACTTTCGCCCTTCCTTAGGATCAACACTTCAAGCAGTGCTAATCCCAAGTCCAGGACTGCCCAAGGAAGCCGATTTTGCTTGTTTCGTGTTGACCCGAGTGGCGCCGTCTTACACTTTCTGCAGTTAATCAGGATCAGTTTCCATTGCAACATAAAAGACACGACGACGCAGATAAATGACGTCCGCATAGAAATAAGGTCTCCTCATCCACTCCAGTTTGAGCCCTCCTGCACCAAAACTGCGAGAGTAGATGGCAATAGCCGTTTGTTTCTGTATAAGGAAGTAAGATACAGCTTTTTCGACACATTCAGCGACACGCACTCAAGTTTCTTTTGGAGAAACATTGCTTGGAGGCACATTACAACATAAAACATCTATTTCATATTCAATTCTATCCATCACGTGCAGATACTTCTTTATRGAGAGAAGAAAGAAGATCATCAGCACAGAAGGTCCATTACAGTTTCGCAGTCCCCAAGGGATATACAAGGAGGAACTAGGTTGCAGTTACCAAGATATACTGTAATGTATGAAGCAAATATAACGTCTGGAACCTTTCAGCTGAGCCAAGACTCCCGTTTCTGATGAGGGKAAAGGTATCTGGGTTCACTTCAAGGTTATAGACAAAAAAGAGAGAAAAAATATTTCCTCTTCCCTTCCTAGAAATTAAGTGCTTCCCATTGCAACAGACAAATGGAAAGTAAAGAAGGAATAGTGTGGCATTAAGAAAAGACTGAGATGCCTACAGATCAACAGTGCACTGTACCTTGGAGGAGGGAAAAGCAGTAGCACGTCAAGTCTGAGTTACACAACATCTCATGGATTCCAAGGCGACCATGACTGAGTGTTCAAATAACCAGGCCATTCATTGTGGCAACAGACCTTTGTGATACTAATGTYTAGGATGCCTTTCAAAACGACAAGAATCCACGATCATCTCTCTCCGCGGCCTGTTTCCGAAAGAGTTCTCAAAAGAACCTTAGGAAAGCACTTCCAGCTCTGAAGTATATAGCATCGATGTAGTATCGTTTCATTACTTCATGCATGCACTTAGATAGGCACCCCTCTTCAGTATTTTATCATCGTATATAAACGTAAAGAAACATCAGTTACAACTAAAGTCTAACAGAAATAAAAATGAAAAAAAAAAAGATAGAAAAGATCCTACGGTTAGAGAAGAGGTCGTCTTAAATACCTGAAGGGCGTCGGGGTCCGAGGACGGCTCTGCTGGGGCACAAGTGCTGCCGGGCGTGAGCATGGCGGGCGCGTCCCCGCTGAGAAGATCGTCGACGGCGCGGCTGGGCAGCGGCGCCGGCACCAAAGCGCACTCGGCCACGGCGCGTGCCGGCGCCACGCACAGGTTGTACGAGTAGGGCAAGGTGCCCTCGCAGAAGTCGGCCGGGAAGGCGGCGCCGCCCACGGAGAAGCGCTCGGCGCGCAGGCAGCGCAGCACGGCGGGCGGCCCGGCGCGCCGCAGCCGCGCCGCCACGGC